TGAAGAAATAACTGACAAGATATAAGGATTGGTTAGGTCAGGAAGGGAAAGCAAAGTCAAAGATAACTTCAAACTCTTAGGTCTGAGTGATTTAAAGAATGGTGTCACCTTTGACAAACACAGTAAAGCTTAAGGGATCATGCTTAAAGGAAAAAAAGAAAAAAGAAAGGGGGGGTTAGATAAAAGAACAAAGAGCCAAAGACTGAGTCTCTAGGCTGCCTACAGTAAGAAAGCAGAAAGAAAAAGTCATCAAAGGGAACAGGGGATGTGTAATCAGAAATGCAGGAGGACAAATCTACAAGGAAAGGGTTCTAAGGATAATCTGTGACATGGCATAGAGGTAAGAAATAAAAGAAGACTTTGGCTCTAGAGATCAGAAAATCATTGGTAACCTTTGAGACTGCAGTTTGAGATTGGGGACCTGGAAAAGTTAGGAAGCATTTTTTCCTATAAGGGTAATGGGGGATGGGACAAAGAGATCAATCATTCCAGAGAGTCAGCCATAAAGGGCAAAAGAGAAAGTGAATGCTGAACAGTATGTCCTCTTACACAGCTGAAAGACATCATTAGTAATGTCTGTATTTGAGTCTTGCCTCTTTCTCAGGCTGTAAGAAGCTTGTGATAACACAGATACAGTTCCAGAGAGTAAGTTCTTAAACTTTCCTTAGTATATATAGGAGGACTTGGGAATGGCAAGAATGAGACAGTCAAGAAAGAGATATGGGAAGATATGTGAGAGGCTAGGAAAATGTTGAAGGCATGCTTCACTAACATCCATTTTTGCTTTGTTCAAATGGCCAGCTTAATTAAATCATGATATCAATATACACGATACATAATGACACAACCATTAAACTTTCTACACATGAATATATGAAAATATCTACATTTTAAGTTTTAAAAAGCAGCTAATAAAATGGCATCATTGTGTAATGCCACACATATAACATCTCATTCCTCTTTACAATTAATATACCGAAATATCCTCAGTAGTAATGACTGTCCCAGGGAATTATCAATGCTTTTTATCTTATTTCTCCATGTCTCCATAATTTAATGGAGGTGTGAGTTTATCCTTTCCCCTAACCAATAAGGATATATTAGCTACTTTCCTCACTCCCATCTCTGTAAAAGGGCAGTCATCACTGGCCCGGATGAGCCAATTGTAGAGGAGAAGAGACACCCATAAATGATAAGGGCATTCTCCCCCTCAATGTGTTTGTTAGGTCAAACAATCCAGGACACTTTGTTTCTTAGGTAGGGTCTCACCTTGCAACTCTGGTTGGCCTGGAACTCACTATGTAGACCAGGCTGGTCTCAAACCCACCTCTGCCTGCTAAGTGACTAGATAAAAGGCATGTACCACTATGCCTGGAAGCCTAGGACATTTTTTGAGTCAGGAACCAGGGTCAAGATGAGAAATGAAGTGATGCATTGGAATGAGCAAGAATGGAATGGAGTAAACTTCAAAGATGGGACAGGTTATAAACAAGTTCAGACTTTGAAGTGATGAAATGTTTTGTTTCTGAATGGGTTGCTTCTTTTGGAATTGTTGTTTAATGCGCTCCCAAAGACACCCAAATGTTGACATGCAACAACTTGGTTTTGAGTCTAAGGTAAATGTTCCTAATCAAAGAGATGTAACTTGTGACTTGAAATCATATTTCCTGTATACCTTTCCTAATTCTACTAGCGCTTTCTCAGAGAGTCAACAAAATTGAATCCAAGGTCCATACTACAAAAATTCAATGATATCAGATACTCAGCTACAACTCTTGATATATACAAATATCACAAAGCCGTATTCATTCCACAAGTTTATGTTATAGAATGATTTCTACCTTAAGAACAGTAAGTTCATAAGTCTGAGGAGCAGCTCTTAGGAGGTACAAAATGTTGCTAAGTTTAGAGAGTGTACTGTGATAAAAGTAATCTTACCTAAGTTGGCTACTATTTCCTTCTAATCATTTGATGTTCTAATGGTCTATGTACACACCCATATGCACCCACCCACTCATCCCCCTCTGCTCCCCCCACTTCACATATGACTTACTGAAGAGTATAAAACTATCTGGCAAAGGCTGTGGTCTACATTGGAAAGAAAGGAATGTAGATGGAAACAAGTTCCTCACACTTTGTTAAAGAGATGAAGGAGTTAAAGGCTTATTCCATTCCATTAAAAAGTGGACCACTTAAATGTAAGTATTTCTTTAAGCTTTACCTTACAAATTTATTTTAAAGATTTCAATTACATTAAAAAAACACCAGTCCTAAAGACAGAAACTCTGCCAGCAGTCATCACCTGATACGTACAATAGATTCATGGGTATGTCAAAAAGTGTTAATCATATAAACCTTTGATTAAACCAGTTTAATTATCTCCATGGTCTACATGGCAAAGCCAAGTAGATTCTCATTATGAAGAAAGAATCATTGTATAATTGCCAGTGATGCAAAATTAATGAGGATAACTTGTCTTGTGGTAGACTAGCATAGGAATCAATAGGCATAACAGGTGTTTTGTCAAAGCATTTCCAAAATTCAGAAATAATCTTCACTTTGCTTTTGATAAAGTAGAACTACAGCCCTAAAATGCAAAGAAAAAATCTTACCAAATGGAATTCAGATAGCATAATTGCCCCTGAAGTTTATGTAGCCGAAAAGGATGTATACAAACTCCTCCTAGCAAAATGATGACTTTCCATTTTAAGGACTTGCCTCAGAAATGATTACTTATTCAACCAACAAAATGAGAAACATGTAATGAGCAATTGAAACTCTTTGGGCCAATTAATGCTGAAAGACATCAAAACTGCACACTTTTTTCTTAGCACATATGTGGATTTTGGAGTTGTCTAGAGCTACACCACAAAAGAAACAACAGGTGAATACATCCTCTTTTAATTTGGGCAGTAATCAACATGGCTATCCATGCAGTTGGACAAGTTTAAGACATAAGCTTCATCCTTGACTATTCACTATTCCCCACCCCAATATTAAATTTATTTCTAAGATGTATTAATATTATCTTCTGAATGTACTTGGGATATATGTCTATTTTATTCAAGTTCCACCAATACTGTCCTAGTCAGAGCTAATACTTAGTTGTCCAATCTTTATCACCAATAGGACGTCTTTTCTTAGTCACTATTCTATTGGGGTTAAGACATGCCATGACCAAGGCAACTCTTATAAAAGAAAGCATTTAACTGGGGCCTTGCTTACAGTTTCAAAGCGTGATTCCATGACCATCACGACAGCATGGCAGCAGGCATAGTGCTGGAACAGTAGCTTAGGGCTTACATCTGATCCACATGAGGCATGGAGAGAGACAGACAGAGAAAGAGACAGGGACAGACAGACAGACAGACAGACAGGGACAGAGACAGACAGACAGAGAGAGACAGAGACAGAGAGAGACATTCAGACAGACAGACAGACAGACAGACAGAGAGACTGGGTTTTTTGAAACCTCAAAGAACACCTTCAGTGACACACCTCCTCTAACAAGGTCACACCTCCTAATCCTTTGCTTAAACAGTTCCACCAACTAGGAACCTGACATTCAATATATGAGCCTATAGGGGCTACTCCCATTCAGGCTACCACACACTTCTCAGCTCTTTCAAATGTAACATTGCTAAAACTGAATTGGTTTCAAGAGTTCAGAATCTCATTCTACCTGTCTCATTTTCAGTGTTCTCTCTCTTAGTGTCCAGAAGCATCAAGAGTGAGTTAAGTGAGATAGAAATCTGGGTGAATCTCTACTTTTCTTCCAATTATAAGATTGAACTTTCTTCCCTACAGTACCAGTCCTTCCAATTCTCCTACAACCACCATTACACTCTTTAAGTAACGTAAAAAACACTCTTGGACATTTTAATTCATCTGTCAATCCTAAGTTATTTTTATATGCTACAGTAGAAGCATTTAAAATCAAACCCTTTGCCCTGTTGATAAAGTCTTCACGGACTTTTTATGGTCACTTGGGATAAAAATACAATTCCTCAACAAAACCTCTTTGCCCCTAAGTACTGTGCGTCATCCTGCTTATTTCCTCAAGGCTATCTTACATCTTTTGCTCTCATGTTCTTTTGACTCAGGCCTCATGAGAACTTTTGCAAATAGTCCCAGTTGCCATGATTTCTTTCTCTCTAACAGAAGCTTGTATATGCTTTACCTAGGACAAAATTCCAGTGACATCACTTGAAACCACTCCTACCTTGCTGAGCTTATTTAGTCAACAGTTTCCCCACTATCATCACATGAAACAACTTTTGGGAATAGTATGCATGCTATAATGTATGATAACAGTACCCCATGCTACTGTATACAGCCCATTAGAAGTGCCAATTCCTTCTTTGTCTCTCATTTGCAGGGACATTTTCTTTAACTATTCCAAAAGAATTATAGAATCATGCATGGGACTTTCCCACTCACCACTCAGTTGAGGTGGTTTTTTGGTTTTGTTTTTCTTTTCTCAAGACAGCATTTCTCTGTGTATTTCTGGCTGTCCTGGAACTCACTCTATAGACCAGCCTGGCCTCAAATTCACAGAGATCTGGCTACTTCACCTCCTGAGTGCTGGGATTAAAAGCTTGCACCACCACTGACTTGCTAGTTACATTTATTTTATTTATACAATGTCTTAATAAGGTTTTTCTTCCCACCACCCCCTTCACTGCCCCCCCACTATAGGCACTGTAAGGGTGAGATCCTCACCTATCACAGTCAGTGCTCCACACTCAACTCCTAGTACAGTGCTTTCTACAGTGAAAGTTGCAGAAGATATCCATGTTTATCAAAGATGAAAACAGATACAGAGAAGTAAAGATGAGTTGTCGTTCTTTTCACACTGAAATAGAATTGTTTACTGAATCTTATTTATGGTTTCTGTGGAATTACCTCTTTTACCACCCATTGTTCTACACGCACACACACACACACACACACACACACACACACACACACACACACACACACACAGGATAATTCCTTACTCTGTCTCCAGACGTTTTCCTTCATTTGGTGTCCTTGAAACTTAGGAGGTTTGGTTCTGTGGAAACAGAAGAAAAACATGATAAAGAAAAAAACACTTCCCTGCCTAAAGTAGTTAGCATATGGAAAACATAAAATAATTAAAGTAATTATAATAATCATTATTATTAATTTTTATACATTTTCATTATGCATAACCAAAAGATTTAAACTCAATCAGTATAATTTGCCATATCAAGAGATAAGAATTTTGATGAAAATTAAAAAGCCACTTATGATTAAAAACTCTCATCAAACCAGAAATTAAAGGGAATTTCTTCAATCTGATAAATGATGTCTAAAAAAAGGGATTACTAGAGTGTAGTATGTTGATAAGAGGGTACACACAGACTAACAGAGCAGAATCAAGTCCAGAAATAAACACAAATACATGCAAGTGCCCAAAACAATATTAAATGTACCAATATTGCTTTATTATTGCTTTCCTCCATCTTAAATCACTGTGTGCATCCATCTCAGTCAGGACCCAGGTTTCTCCTTCAATAAACCTAAACCTTTTCATTATAAATAGTAATACACTCTCTTTTTAAGGGAAGTTATTTGGGGGACTGGAGAAATGGCTCCAGAGTGACAAACATATATTGCTCTTCAGACGACCAGAGTTCTGTTCTCAGCAGCCATGTCAAGTGACTCACAACCACCTTAACTCCAGATACACTGAGTTCCAAAGCCTCTGGCCTCCAAGGATACTAGCACCTGTGTGCACATATTCCATATCCAACATATATGTAATTAAAAATAAACTACCATGTGCAAAAAAGGAAGGCCATTTTTACTGATCACCTCCCAAGTTAAGGCAACTTCTACACTTTGTCCCATCGACATAGACACCTAGTTGTACCATTAGGGGAATGCAGTGATTCCATAGAGTAACAGCCTTGGGAGAAATGAGATGCTCTAAAGACACACTTGTGTATCAGATAATTGAAACAATGGACTCCAATAAAATGGGAATTTCCTCAAGAACCTCTGTGGTGATACATTGTTTGTGATCTAATAAAGCTTGCCTAGAGATGATAATGCAAAGCTAGTCACAGTCATAGAGGCCAAGTAGTGGTGGTATATACCTTTAGTTGCAGCAGTCACACTAGTTAGCCACAGAAGCGAGGCAGTAATGGTGTACACATTTAATCCCAGCACTAGAGACAGGAACGGGTCATTCAGTCTTGGGCAATTAGTCTCCAGTCATATTGAGGACAGTATAGTCCCAGCCTTGGTAGAGGTAAGAACTCTCTAATTGCTTGGCTGCTTTGCTTCTCTGATCTTCAGCTTGAACTTCAATATCTGTCACTTGGTTTTTATTACTCATGTTGCAAGCATCAGGCTTGGAGAAAAAAAAAGGTGCCAGCTAAAGGTAGAACTTCCTGAAAGATATTTCAGAGTTCTAACACCTTATAGGATGAGACTGAAGCCTAGACACTGATGGGTCAGTGGTAAGTAGAACGACACCTTGACCAGGACTGGTTAGATGCACACATCCCTGGTCCTCTATTTTAACTTTAATTTCACTTCAGGACCTGGAAAACAGACTTGGGAGGCTAACTGGATCTCTTTGCCACCCCCTTCTAACTGTGAATTGAATAAATCTCCTTGACTCTTGGTTTTTTGTTGTTGTTGTCTCTTTTTGAATTTATTTATTTTTACATCCTGGCCATACCAAAATCTCCACCTCACATAGGTTGGCAAGTGATACCAAGACTAGATGACAAAGCATGCAGTTTGCCACTGTTCCATGGGTGCTCAAACTTAACAGGGACTCTGATTTGAATGCAGACGCTTTACTGATAGCCACAAACAGCAAGTGTATTGTAGCTTCCTTTATTTTGCAGTTGGTAGAATCTGCAACAAATGCAGAAGCAATGATTTAATGAACTCAGAGCAAAGAGCTCAAACACCCTTTAGAGTATGTTGTAAGTAAGCCAGTCCCTTCTTGACTTCTATCCTCATGTAACAAACAGTTGTTGCATGCTGTGGTGGTACTGATCTATCTAATTGCATGATTACAGAAAACATTACAGATCAGAACAGTTAAGTTTTACAGCTAAACATGCTGAACAATGATGTTTTGGATCTGGGAACACAAATTCTCCTAATAATGATAGCAACATACAATTTAGGTAGCAGTCACTTTCATACCATATTCTCTGTCTGTCTCTCTCATTCCAAATTTCCATTATATATTTCAATATTAACAAACCATTTAAAATCTATTTACCTTAGTTTCCTTATAATTTCAAAAGGAATTGACACTGAAAAGCTTTCTAATTTCTCTAGTTTGTCACATAAGTATCTGGTCTGCATGGTAAACCACTGCTGCCGCTGCCACCACCACCAACAACAAACCAAGAGAAGTAGGACACTCATTCTCCCATAAAAATATTGAATAAACAAGATATTGACTAAAATTACTTATTACCTTAAAAATTTCAAAGAAACACAGTAGCCAAATAAGCTGAATGTTGGTAAGCAAACACATAAAATAATTGGAATATAATGATAATTTTCCTTGTGCCTACCCTAACTCCTCCCTAGCCTAGCCTAGCACAGTTTGGAGAAAATATCAGGCCAGTACATGCCTCATTTTCTTAAACAAGAGACAGCACAGTGGCTATAATTGGTAATTTTTTAACCTATCTAGTTGATGCCTGAGGGATTGGTCTCTGTGTCCCCTAAGACAGAACTCAGATAGCCCAAGGTGCCACAACTCAGATCTTTCGATTTTCATAAATGTGCTGCAGGGAAACAGCAGGTCCACAGATGCTCAGGGAAAGAGATTACAGACAGGAGGATACAATAGAACTGCTTCAAACCCTGAGAAGAAACAGTGGGAAGACTCTTGGGGAAATTAAGACGTTAAAACCCAGCTGTGACCAATGTAAAATCAACAAAAGCACAGACACTGTCCCAGAGAGGACACATGCCCAGAAAAGTGAGAAGACTTTAAGCCTTCACAGCAGGGTGATCCCAAGCTCAAATAGATCCTGTTAATTAGTAAAGGTCTTCCCCTGCACAGCTCGACTACAGAGAATGGAAGGCATCACTGTCTTCACAAATCCAACATTCAACAAAAGATCTTAAGGCATATGAACAAAAAGGATAACATTCCATTAAAAGGAACTAAATTAATCCTTAGAAAATATCTTAAATAAACAAAACACTTAAAAATAATGCCTTTATACATAAAGGGGCTAATGGGAAATAACAAAGGAAAGAAAAGACATATAAAAACACGAGAATTACAACAGAGACAAAATTTTATAGAAATAGAAACATAGAAATTATATAGATGAAAATAGAAAGGTGAAAACTTAAAGAATAAAACAGAAGAAATTATGTATCAATGAACTTTCAAACAACTTTTTAAAGGATCAAATCTCAGGAGTCAAAAAAGGAGTGGGAAAATCAAAGAAACAGGATCTAAGGGATATATATGGAACACTATAAAGTACAGCAAAGTCTATATTAGGGAAGTATATAAAACAAAGAAAAAATAAGGAGGAACAGAGTTCATCAGGGAGAAATAACTGTAGCCCCATTTCTAAATTTGGACGAAATACATGGGTGTACAAATATAAGCTTATGAAACTCTTTAGAAGACTAAATCAAAACCCACACCAAGACATATCATAACTGAAATACTGAAAAAAAAGACAAGGAAAATTTTGAACAGATTAAAGAGAAAGCAACTGTCCTGGCTTTTTTTGCCAACTTGATAAAACAAGTTAGAGTCATCAGAGAGGAGGGAACTTGAGAGAATGCCTGCAGAAGATATGCTGTAGACAAGCCTATGGGGGTATTTTCTTAACTAGTGATTGATGTGGGAGGACTCAGTCCATTGAAGGTAGAGACATCCCTGGACACTGAGTTCTGAGTTCTATAAGAAGCAAGACTGAGCAAGTTATGGGGAGGAAGAAAGCAGCACTGCTCCGTGGCCGGCCTCTATGTCAGCTTCTGCCTCCAGGGTCCTGCCCTGTTTGAGTTCCTGTCCTGACTTCCTTCAGTGAAGACCTAAATGTGGAAGTGTAAGCTAAATAAACCCTTTCCTCTCCAAGTCGCTTTGGTCTTGATGTTTTGTCTTAGAAATAGCAATCATTACAAAGACAGAAATTCATCGCATATAAGTAATATTCATCAAGATTAGTAACCAGGGACTGAATAGATGACTAAGTGGTTAAGAGTGCTGGATGTTCTACCAGAGAACTGGAGTCCTATCCCCAGCACCCACATGGCAGCTTGGTCTGAAACTCTAGTCCTAGGGGGATTTGATTACCTCATTTGGAGATTATTAAATACACATATGCACAGACTTGCATAAAGGCAAAATATTCATATGCACAAAACAATAAAATAATAGTACAAAAAGATTAGCAACCAATTTTAATGCAAATGTCTTTAGGCCGGAGACAGACAGGCAGACAAATGGAAAAAAAAAAACACTGTTGACGTAGAACTCTCTACATACTAAAACTGAGCTCCAAAACTGAGGAAGGAATTGATATTCCCAAATAAACACACGCTGAAGGTCAGTATCACTAGACACACCCTTCATGCCATGCTGAAAAGTCTCTAAAATTGAAAGGAGGCTAGAGAGTAACTCAAAATGATAATAGAAATTTCTCAAGTAAAGGGATACACATGGACAAACCTTTTTGTAAAGCATAAAAATGGTAGGAATGAATTACTGGTCCTCTTAAACACTCCCAGAAAATTGAACAGAAGGCAATATTTATTCATCTATTTTTGAGGACCATGGTACCTCAGTGACAACAGCAGGCAAACACAGCACAGAAAATGACAACTACATATCAATATCCATAATAAATATTATGAACAAAATACTGAACAAAATAATAGCAGACTAAATCCAGCAGCATATAGAAAAGACCAATTTTATTCTTGAAATGCAACAATGATAGAACTCATGAAAATAAACCAATACAATACACCAAGTCAAAAAATAAAGAACAAGAGGCATGCAATCATTTCAAGTGGAAGGTT